CTGAATTGGTCTGAATAGGCTTATATTTAAATATGTCCCAAATACTAAAACAGACAGCATGCCCTGTGGGATCTGAAAGCAGGAGCAGAGCCTTTGTGAAGTCCTCCCCTGGGCTCGGCTCCTCGCTTTCTTTCAGGCAGGGCCTCTATGTGGCTGCTTCGTGGCTGTGTCCTTCTTTCGGGGTATGTGGGGCTGTACTTTCACTCTGCCTCCCTGCCCTCCATGGGAAGCTCTCCTCCTGGAGCTTACTTGAGTGCTGCTTCTCTTGAGATGGAAGTTTATCTGAAAAGGAAAAAGCAGAAGCTGGGAGGCCAGCGCGGATGCTCTCTCACCACCCCTCCAGCTTCTGAGGCAGGAGACTTGGAAGTGTTATTCTAGCGATGACCCAGATGACCCAGTGGTGTCCTGTAGGTCTGGCTGACACTCTTCCCCCAAGCAGTGCAAAGTCACTGGTGATACATAAGGTGTGGCTGGGTGAACATATTATACATTTATTTTATTTGTATTAGAAAAAAATATTTCCACATCTTAAATCATGATTTCACCAATACTGAGGCTTAGGACAAGAGCTGCGGTGGGTGGTGTCCTAATACCAGCTCCTCAGGGCTGGCTGTGTGAGTCACAGTGGCTCTGCTCAGGCCTGCCAACGAGTGCCTCACCTGTGCCACGCTGTTGGCAGCAGACAGAGGGGAGATGGCACAGACTGCTGGCACGGACCCTTAGATCCTAAACTTCTACTTGCATCAGCACATCTTTGCAGGGCAGTGACTACAGCTTTCCTTCTGGCCAGACACACAGATGAAAAGATGCTTTTGACTGGTGGACACATGGAGAGTGGGAGAGCCCTGGCAGGCAGCGGCAGAGGAGGGAGTGGTGGCCTTGGCCACACACCCCTGGGGCTCGCCTGGCTGCCACACCCCTGGAAAGGCTTGGGCTGCTGAAGCCAGCTGGGAGTTAAAAACATGTGCTATTTCCTGTTCTTTGCACGGAAATCCACGGCCAGTTCTTTTGCTACTTCTTTAAGAGGGGTAATGGCGGAATGAGAGTCGACTGTGTTGTACCGTGCCACTTAGTAATATAGAAATTTAGGGAGGGAAGGAGGGGGGAGATGGATGGAGCGGGGGACGAAGGGACAGCAGGAGGAAGAGGGAGCAGAGAGAGCAAAATAAGGAAAAGACACAGGAAAGCAAAAGGAGCCACAACATCTGGAAGGCCCTGGGGCAAAGCAATGAAAACATTGGAAGCTGGAAGATAATTTGATGTGTCTAAAAGTAGTACATGAAATCCATTTAGTAAATAATCTCTTTTCTTTTCTTTTCTTTAGCCAATTGGCTATCTGCTTTAGAATGGGGAGAGAAATAGACTGCTAGGACCAATAAGCAGACTCTTAGTTGTTACCGCATCCAGCTCCCCCGCGATTTGATTTTTATGTAACAAGGACAAGGGGAGAGAGGACACACTGGTTGGGAAACTGGGATTGGCTTACAGCTTGCTAAGGAAGAGTTACTCTTTCCTTCCTTGTCTGAAACAGAAGTAATCTGTAATAAGTAAGAGTTGGTAGGAGAGGGGCTGAGGTGGGGGATTGTCTTGAAATTCCAGAAAATTTTTCAAATGACTTAATAATTCTTTACCGTGGTCTTATGTTAAAAAGAAAGAGTAGGATCACTGAGCATGGCTCTGTGACACATTAGCTTAGGAGGCAGCTCCAAGAGCCTGCCCTAAGTTTAATTCCTGGCTGCCATCACCTTCTTATCGAGTGACACGGTACAACTTCCTTATTCCCCCTGACTTGCAGGCCTCTTGGGCTCCAAGGAGATGCCTGTTACCTGATAGGGCTGTTGTGACGTTCTGTATGTAATTGTGCAAGGCTCTCACGCAGTGACTGATCCACAGCACGTGCTCAATAAGCAGCTCAGGCTGCTGTAATTAAAACGATGAGCTGCTTGCCTTCGCTGTGTTGATAAAGAAAGGGAGAAGGAGGGCCGAATACGCTCTAAGGCTGTCGGAGATGGAAGAGGACAGAATGACAGGACCGGAGGAAAGCACCGGCTTAGGACACAAGGTCCACAGGTGTGCGTTACATAGGATACCTTAGGGCTGGAGTTATAGCTCAGCGGCACACGCATCTGAGCGCCTACCTGGCAGGTACAAGGGCCCAAGTTTGATCCTCAGTACAGCAAAAAGAGGACACTTTATATTCTCATTTGAGAAACCTACAGATGAGTGTACAGGACCTCTGAGCCCTTTATGCTCTGAGATTCCGCTCTACTATAACCTAAAGTGAAAAGTCCCAGGCTGCAAATCGAAGAGCTTCTCCACTTCTTACCCTTCCTCTACAAGGACACAGAGAAGTGGGGTGCAGCTGGCTCGCCAAACACCCACACTGTGCGCGCCCACCGGGCACTTGGAGGCTGCAGAGCGCCACCTGGTGACAGTCCTTTCTCATGGCAACAAGGAATACACCCACAGCATGCTGCAGAATCTGGGCTGTCGTTCGGGATTTACAAACGAACCTTTGTGGAGTGCTTGCTACATATCAGTCACTGCTAAGGGCTCGATGCGCAATTTCTCTTTTCAGTCTCTTATAAAAGAGTTACTGTGATCACCGGTTTGCTGAGGAAGAAGCCAAGGATTAGAGATTAGGCGATAAATACAAGTTCTGTGAGCAAATGTGTGGATTTGGAACAAGGCTGCACTTTTAACTGCAGCGCTGCATGAAACAGAGAAATGAGGAAAACCCAAAAGGATACGGGGAAGTAGCTAACAGGAGAGTGACCACAGAAAATCGAGGATGGGAGAGAATGGATTTTTGGTGAGCGAGGAAGGCGCAGCAAAGATGCCGCTGGCTGTTGAAGACATGGTGTAAGTGATCTAAAGCACTGTGTAAAACCCAGCCCAACTCACCAGTTTTGGCTCTGCGGGCCCCACAGTCACAACTTCTGTGTATGGCTCAAACCCAGGTGCTGTGGCTGTGACACTGTAGGTACCTGGGAGCAGCAGCCGGAAGTAATCCCCGTGTTCACCTAAAAGTCACAAGAACAGAACTCAGTCAGCTGATGGAAGACCTGCCCCCGAAGCAAACTTGGTTTGAAAAGTGACCTGGACACTTTAGCTGACCACGAGCTTGGTTCTTCCTAAGAGCATGATGAAACCGAGAAAGAGCTAAGTCAGCCCTAAGAATAGTCCTTATGAAACAGCTGCCTGCAGAAGGCTGATTGTGCTCTGCCCTGAAAGAAGTGTGTTCTATTCTAGACACTGTATTTTTCAACTTTTTTTTTTTTTTTTTTGGTACCGGGGATTGAACTCAGGACCTTCTGATTGCCAGGCAGGTGCTCATGCCACTGACCTATATCCCAGGCCCCTAGGACCTCTATTTTATTTTATTTTTTTCATGCAATGTTTGTATTTATTATTTACCACAGTCAGACTGTCTTCACAGAACATAAATTCTGAGAGGTTAGAAAATGCCACTTTTTACAGATTGTTCTTTCATGTACAATAGTGCAATTAACAAGATATAATAATTATTTGGCCAGTTGCCAACTCATTAGGATACTTTAAAAATAACTTTTAAAGAATTAAACTAATTACAAACTAACATAGAAGTAGCTGCTACAGTCTGAGGCTAGGATTGGGGCATGTCTGCCAACTTCATGAGACGGGTAATGAAACTGTGGCTTATTCATCTTTATGATCCTTCTTTCAAGGACCCTTACTGCTGGGCATAGTGCTGCACATCTGTAAGTTTAGCGCTCTGAGGGGCTGAAGCAAAAGGATCACAATTCAAGCCCAAACTTTTCAACTTAGCAAGACATTGTTTCAAAATTAAAAGGGGCTGGGAGATAGCTCAGCAGATTAAGCACCTGCCTGGCAAGCACAAAGGACCTCTATTTTAATACACGTTCATTTTCAGGAGAGGTTCACTAGGAGAGAGGAAAGGTTAAAGTTAACACTTCACCTGACTAAGGAAATCATTTGAGGCCTCTATGCTGATAGTTCAAAAGCCACTCTGAAGAGATGATTTGACCTAAGCGAATGAGAACTATGTGTTGAACTTTCAGGGAGGCGGGTTTTGCTAGACAGAGAGGAAATTACTGAACTAAACAAGAGTCACTAGAGAAAAAGCGGACAGCCTTATGATGCTGAGAGCACTCTAGCTGAGGCTGAATCGGAAGCCCTGGGAAGGCTTCTCAGTGGAGCAGTGTGCGACCTACCGCGACAGCCATGGCAACCTTGGGCTGGATAGCCAGTGGCCAGTGGGGTTGCATACCTGTAATTTTATATTCGGTGGGATGAGTGGACTAAATGCTTAATAAAGATCTGATTTAGAGGGCTGGGGAGTAGCTTGGTGGTCTAAGTGCAAGGAGCCCCCAGGTTTGATCCCCAGTACCACATGCCGTGTGAGTGCCGTCGCAGCCACTAAAACCCGGTGTGGTGGTGTGTTCCTGCCTGTAATCCCAGCGCTGGGCAGGCTGAGACAGGACGCTCACTACAAGTACCAGCTGCGTAGTGAGACCCTGTACCAGATACATACATAAATAAATGACTTAAATTTTTTTTAAAAAATCTGATTTGGAGGATCATATTTTTAATATCTCTTCCACTACCTTCAAAAGTACGCTAAAGGTATAATAAAAATCAAAAGAAGCCTACTTCTCTATGGCAAGAATATACCATTTTGGCCAAAGACTTTTTGTTCTTTTGGAATCATGATGATATTTTAAAAATGCCCTGTAAGTGCACAGTAACAAATACTTACAATAGTACATGCAATGAAGAATGGTGCAGACAATAACGAGGAAGTCTTTTCTCTACCACCTATCAAAGATCTATAGTAATTTAATACTCTAGCAAAGGTAGCATGTTATTGGGAACGTATTGGATAGTCTGAGTTACAGCCTAGGGGCTGTCATGTTCTCAATTGAGGGTTCGCACTCACGAGTAGTTAGCCTTGTATCAGAAAGGCCCTTTTCCAGGGGCCAGGGAGATGGCTCATAGAACAAGTGTTTCCCTGGCAAGCTCAAGGGCCTAAGTTCAATTCCTGGGTCCCCCCCCCAAAAAAAAAAAAGAAAAAAAAAAAGGGAAGGCCCCATTCCAGGTGCATCTAGAAGGTCCCCTGCTGTCTTTATCGCTAATCAACACTAAACACTTGGGTAAGTGGAATAACAAATGGTAGCAAGAGTGCTCCTTTTTTCACTAGTAAAATCATTTATTTCACTGGTCACCTTGTTAATTTAGCACGAGGAATGCTGCTGAATGAGTACTTGCGATGACATCAGTGGTATTCACCACTGAGAACTAAAAAGCTTGAGAGACAATGAAATGTTTACTAATTGCTATGTCCTTGCTTATCCGGAGTATAAGGAGTAGTGAGCCCCGAAGCCTGTGCTTGTACGGGTGGTACTTGAAGTTGGATTCCTGAACAGTCATGGATCCAGCTACTGGACTGGAGGCTTCCGGCTTTCTGATGCCTGTAAGCCATATGTGAACCCTTTAGAGCTTTCAATGGTACAAACAGCCTGCTGCGGCACACATGGCATAGATTTACCACCACTGCTATAGGGTACAGCATCATAGACTTACCACCACTGCTATAGGGTACAGAATTCTGCTTTTAAAATATTTTCTTTCCCTTAACATAGAGCTGAGGTTTCATCTAACTTAAATGGACAGCATAAAAAGATGCCTGCTTGGTAATAAATATTTGCCTAGTAAAAATATAGCTGTATCCTGCTGGAGTTGTGGTGTGGGGAGTTAGGGAAATTAACCTACTCTTAACTACTAGCAATTAAAAACAAATAAGCAAAACCCTTAAGGATCGTGGGTGATCAGCTTGAGTTGGGTCAGACAGCAGCACCATTTCCTGTGAGATAATTTTATGGCTGTCTCTAGACATCCCCCTAAAGCCTCCTATGGTCATAGGGGAGGCTTTTCAGAGATGGTTGGATCTAGGGTGTGTGATACTGGGATCGAAGACGTGATGTTGGGATGGATTCAAGGTAGGATGCTAGGATTAAGGCTGCCGCACCCTGGTGTGAGTGTTACCCAGCCTGAGTGGCCTGGATATGAAATCAGGGACAGAAAGAGGGTTTCTGCTCATCACCTGTAGCTTGCTGCCTGCTGCCTTGCTGTCTTCTGCCTTCCGCCTGCCAAGAACTCTCTCCTCTGCCACGCCCCTGTGCCGTGCCTCCCTGCCTTGGAGCCAGGCAGCTGCGAGCTGAAACCTCCACAAACTGGGAGCCAAACATGCCTTTCCTCCTCTAACTTTGGGTGTCACGTATTTTGTCTCAGCAATGAGGAAGTTCTAAGACAAAATTCTGTACCCTTCTAGGAGGTTCGGGATAGCTCCAAGATCAGCCTCCATCAATCGTGCCCTGCAGCAAGTCCGTTTAAGCCAACCTTTCCAATGTTTCCTGAATAGGCATGCAGTAAAATGCTTGCGTCAGGGACAAGGTCAAACATGAGTTTTACAGCCCTTCTCCTTTCTTCCCCATTTCACACCAGCATGTGAGCCTCTAATAGCTTCCAGCCCGGAAATACTTCCAACAAAGTCATACAGCGCAGTGACTTCCGGACTCCAAGGAAGAGTTGCATTTACATTTTTCTTCCCTGGTCCTCACCTCTCAGGGATGTCTTGCTGCACAAGCGAAAGTATTTTTTTGTTGTTGTTGATTGGGTTTTTTTGTTTTGTTTTGTTTTTTCCATTTAAACTTTTGGTTAGTGATCCAGCCTCTTAATTCACTGTCCCTTTGTGTAGTGAACCCTTCCCTCCTTCGAGTCTTATCCCAGAGCCTTTTCCTTGCTAGTCTCTTCAGCTTCCAAGGTGGCCTGTGAGTTCTGCTGAGGATCAGGAGGGAGAACTCCCTTCTCACTTCCATGCAGTGGTCACCTACCTGCTGTGACATCGTGATTAATTCCAGCGACAGAAATGACAGCCCCTGTGAGGTTGTTATTGTTATCATCAAGCACCATTCCCTTGATGCCCTGGTGAACCTGTAGGAAGAAGCGAACACTACCGAGTTAAGCGCATAAAACGGGTGCAGGGTTTATGGTCTCAAAGCCATTTCCCATATGTTTCCACATTCAGTCTTCACAAGGTGAAAATCGTTACTTCACTGGCCTATTCTCTCCCTCCCCCACCCCAAGAGTCTCTTCTCAACAGAACAGACAGAGCAACCTATAAATCTATGTCAAATCATGTCATTAGCCCAACTATTCAAGACCCAACTCACTCAGGGCAAAGGCTGTAACTCTTATGATGGCCTGTGAGGTCAATGTGTCTGTTGGCAGCCTGATCCTGGAGATCCACTCCAGTTCCAGCCACAGTGCTTTCCTGGTCTGGAATAACTACAAAAATTTAACTGTGGGCTGACCAAATAGCTCAGGGGATTAAAATGCCTGCAAGCAAGCGCAGGGGCCAGGGTTTAGATCCCCATGCCTGCTGCCCTGACCAGCCCCTGGGGCTCGCTGAGACTGCAGTTGAAACTAGGCCTGGTGGTGCATGCCTGTAATCCCAGCTCTTGGGAGGCTGTACACGGGCAGATCACTACGAGTCTGATCTAGTAGTGAGACCCTGAACACCTTGTAGACCCTTCCCTAAGAAAAATACCAAAAAAAAATTAACTGTAGCAAAATATATACAACCGAAAATGTACATTTTAGCCATCGTAAGTAGCTATGTTCAATGTTATTAACTATGTTCATTATGTGCAGTTAGCACTACTACCAACCTCCAAGACTCTTCCCGTCCTATGAAAATGAAAGTCTGTACTTACCACTGAACAGTAATTTTGCCTTTCCCCTTTTCCCAGCCCTGGAAGCCTCCATTCTACTTTCTGTCTCTATGATTTTTGATTATTCTAAATACCTCATGTAAGTGGAATTGTACGGTATTTGCCTTTCTGTGACTGGCCTATTTCACTTAGCCTAATGTCTTCAATATTTATCCATGCTGAGGCATGTAGGAGAACTTATTTCATAGTATGTATACTCTATGTTTTTATAAATTCATCCACCAATAGCACTTGGGTTGCTTCTACTTTTTGGCTGTTGTGAAAAATACTGCTATGAACAAAGGTGCAGACCCTTTCCCTCCGCACAGCCAGCTTGTATTGAGCCTTTTTCGTATTGTATATTTACAAACTGCTCACATTCTTTTGTGTAAAATAACTGATAAACCTGTTTGAATATTAAAAAACAAAACAAAACAAAAAAACAAAGGTGTACAAATAGTTCTTTGACACCGTTTTCAGTTCTTCTGGATATATACTCCAAAGTGGTATTGCTGGGTCCTATGGTAGTTCTATTTTTTAATTTTCTGATGGTGGCTCACCACACAGTTTTCTGTGGCAGGTGCACCCTTCTACATTCCCACGAATGGCATGCAAGGGTTGCCGTTTTTGCGTATCTTTGCCAACACTTGTTGATTTCTATGGTGATGCTGTCATTTCATAGCGGCCACCCTAATGAGGTGAGGTGGCATCCCACTATCATTCTTATTTGTATTTCCCCAGTACATTTCTCTAACATTAAGCATCTTTTCATATGCTTGTTGTTGCTGTCATGTTTGTTGTAGCCATTTCAGGGAACTATTTTGTCCTAAATAACTGCAAGTTTCTCTTCAATTCCTTGAAATCACTGTTTAAAAGTATCCTTCACATAAGGCTTTCTTCTAGCTTTTCTCCTTTAACATATTATAAAACTTTTTATTTTATTTATTGTGTGTTTATTGTCTGTCCTCAATGCAATATTAGTTCTGTATGGATAAGAGTGTTTTTTTACTCAATTCCCACGTTATAGTAAATTTTCTGACATACAGTTGTGCTCAATCATATTGAATGACTAAATCTCACCAATAAAAACAATTCAAATGTATTGAGTCAGAGCAAAATCAGACCTGAATTACATAAAAAAGTTAACCTGACACTAAAGGACCCTTCTCTTTTTGTGACTGGAAAGGTGAAAGGTAGGCTTTTTACCTGTTCCAAGAATTGGATTAGGGCTTCTCGATTACCAAGCCACTCCCGCTCTAGTTCCTCTTGGTGGGGAAACTTACTGCAACTGAGTTCCAGTGTGATTTCAAAGCAATTGGTGTGGAGATAATTAAAATCTTGCATTCCTAGGGAGAAAAGGGAGCTGGCACGTTTGTATGAATAGGTTCTCACCCAACCCCCATCTCATTTCTTTTTTAATCATAATTTCACACCATGACCTTCACCATTTTCTCTTGTACCTCTATTTTTGTTTCTTTGAGACGGAGTCTTGCTATGTAATCTAGGCTGCCTTGAACTTACTATGTAGCCCAGACTGGCCTTGAACTTGCAGCACCAATCCTCCTGCCTCTGGTTCCTAAGTGCTAGAAATATCTATTCTAACTTTTGATGTCTATTTATTCTGCTCTATAAACTCTTTCCCAAGGTTACCAGCTCATATGTAGTTTTCCCTTTCCAGTATACTTTCTTGATTAATGCCCGTTTCACCATCTACATTTTTTGTCTTTTCCATTTCTTGATTTAATTTTCCAAAGTCATTTTATTAGCTGGACCTGATTATTAAGAGTTTGCACACGCACTGCTTTTAGGAGAAGAGATATCTTTTTTCTCTAAAGTATGGTGTTCTTCAGACCTGGGGTGAGGGGTTACAGATGAGATTAATATTTTGCTTTCATATCCTTCACCCCAACTGATAACATAACACTAATAAAAAACTAGTTGTCACAGAAAAACTGACTCACGAAAAAGCATAAGGCATCTGTATTTTGTGTTTTCTCCACCAAATGCTTGACTTTCTGATTTTCTATATTATTCAATTGGATGTACTATTTTTTTTAATGTTTCTGATTATTAAGATGGCATTATGTGACAAATTCATTTGAATTAAAAATTACCCATTTAGTTATCTATATTACCCAAAGTGATCTGTAGATTCGATTCAAACCTTATGATTATTTTTGCAGATATAGAAAAATCTATGTTAAAATATATATGACATTTCAAGACATGTCAAATAGCCAAACTAACTTGAAAAGGAACAAAAGCAGGAAGACCCCCTTTCTGGGCTTAAAACTTATTACAAATCTACAGTAATCAAAAGAGCTTGGTATGAAGATAGACAAATACAGTGGTATCTTGGTTTGCAAACTTAATTTGTTTTATGATTTTGGGGACAATGACTCCATTTGTATTTGTTTGGAGAAGATAGCCATGGTTGTGTTTGTCACCCAATGCCAAGTTTTTTTGTCATCCAATGCAGAATTTGTGAACAGAAGCATTCGTGAACCAAGGCACTACTGTAGACCAGTAGAATAGAATAGAAACTCTTGCAAACATGGTCAAATGATTTCTGATGAAGATGCCAAAACCATCCAATTGGAAAGAATAGTCTTCAACAAGTGGTGCTGGGAAAACTTGATATCCACATGCAAAAAAAAAAAAAAAAGAAGGAAGAAAAGAAGTTGGACTACAATAAGACTATTTACAAAAATTTATGTAAAATGGATCATAGACTGAAATGTAAGAACAAAGACTATAAAACTTTTAGAAGAAAGCATAGGTCAAAACTTCATGATATTGGACTTCTAGGCACTGACACCAAATTACAGGCAACAAAAACAAAAGACAACCACTAAGAAGAACATATGCAGTGTATTATTTGTTGAAACTGTACTTCTGATTTGATTTGAAACTGTCTCATTGCTGTTTATCAATAAAATTTTGAAAAAAGAAACCCAAAAAAAACAAAAGACATGTTGGACTTCAGAAAAACTGAAAAGTTTGTATAACCAAAAAGAATGTTAACAGAGTGAAAAAGCATGCTGTGGAACAGGAGGTAACACTTATAAGTAAATTACCTGATAATGGCTACATAGCCACAATATATAGAGCTGCTAAAATTCAACAACATTCTCCGGAGTGGGAGTTAGGGTACTGAAGACCTGGTCTTGCCAGGCCACCTCCTTTGGTCCTCTGGTGTTCTATGAAGTATACTCTATGCTACTTTTTTTTTTGACCAACTCAGCCCACCCTGAGGGTGGGACTGGTGTGGCATGTGGTGCTGGGGATCGAACTGCGGTCTCCTGTGCATGCCTAAGCGTACCTAAGCAGGTGCTTTAGACCGTTGGGCTATCTCTCCAGCCCTCTATGCTACTTTTAAAAACCTAACATTTATAATCCAGGCATTTCCAAAGGCTTGGCATGTGTTATTTTATTTAAGCCATCAGAATTATGAGGCAAATATTATTAGTCTAAGTTACAGATGAAGAAAACAAAGCACCAGGCAATTAATCAGTCCAAAGCCACATAAGTGGGCTGGTAAATGAGCAAGCTGAGTTTCAATCCTATTTATTTATTTATTTATTTATTTATTTATTTATTTATTTATTTATTTTTTGAGACAGGTTCCTGCTACATAGTTTAGCCTGTCCTTGAACTAACTCTGTAGCTCTTGGCAACCCACCTGCCTCAGCCTCTTAGGTGCTGGGATTCCAGGCATGCACCACCACACTCTTAATCCAATTGACTCTAAATACTCTGCACCAGTTGGTCCCATTACATATTTCCCCCCATGCCCTAATCTATTTTTTTCACTTTAATGAGAAAAAAATAATGAAACAGTTTCAAAACAGGTTAGTAGGACAGTTACAATAATTAATACATTATAAATTGTTGTCTTCATAGTAATTATTCAGTGGACAAGATGAAGACATGATATCTTGTCTAAACAATATTAGTGCAAACCTTTCTTCCCGTTGAACTAAAAGAAGGTAGCTATGTATCTATCCTAACTATTTTGCATATACATATATATATATATATATACACACACACACACACACACAAACACACACACACATTTTTTTCACTACAAAATGGTCCTTTATTTATATCCCCCTTTTTTGTTTTGCTTTGTCAGAGATGGATGTTCCATTTTTGTTGGACAGTCTGGAGAAGTCTTTAAAGGACCTTTTAATACTTGATGCTAGTTCAAATATTGTAGGTGCATGCATACAGCAAAAGAACCCAAAATAGATCAATAGTCCATAATAGTAGTGGGTTATCAGCACAACTGGCAATTGGCAGGAGTTGTTCACTTGAGCTTTTTACAGCTCAGCATATTAATATGGCATTACTTTTTATACCTTGTGGTTATACTTTTCTGCTGGATGGTTAAGACCAAGTTAAAACAAGACCTATGTAAGTAAAAATGTAACTTTTGTATCTGACAAGGTCAGTCAACTCCCCTCAGGATTTACCCTGAAACCATATAGAGCACCTTGTAGGTCTTTCGTCATTGTCAGCTGTCTGGATGAGTCACGGCCATTGCTTGACCGTGCCCTAATCTATTGTGTAAACAATCAGTTCTGTAGGACCAAAAGTTGTCTCTACCTTAGTTTCAGAAAATCACAAGATGACACCAAATGTCAGCCTGAGACTTTTCCATGTTTATAGATCTCTAGTAGAGTACAAAATTCTGCACTATTTCCATTGTTTGCTTGAGACAATTGGTCAATCAAAAGGAGACATGGGCGCAGCTCTACCTAAACTCAAGCAGTCCCCGGGGCTTTCTTACCCTTACTGAGAGAGTACCAGGAAGCCCCATTGGTGATGCCATCCGGAAAGTAATCCCCACAGTTCCAACCCTGATACATCCAGCCATGAGCATAGGAGTAGACCTTGGCCAGCTGGAAGGGAAGCAGGCAGAAAATGAACTCGAATTTTCCAACTCAAACAGCAACGCTCACACTTAATAAGTATCAGGCAAGAAGCTCCACTAGGCACGTATAGCAGATTACACACTTCAGTGGAAGATAGTGTGATCAGGGGTAGAGAGATGGTATGCACATATGTGTGTAAGGGTATAGGGCAGTTAGTGTGCATGAATGAGTAATCCTGCTGTTGTGTGTGTGTGTAAGGGTGTGTAATGTGGACCAGAGTTAAGAGATCTGCATTCTGATTTTTTCACTTACCCAGTGCTCTTTCTTCTTGTGTAAAGGGAGGGTGCGCTACACACTACGTGCTCTCACTTATACCTTTTTCTAGCTGAGTTTTATAAAAGAATCAAGGAGAAGTAGAGCAGTAGTACTGTTTGTTGGCTGGCGAGAGAGATATGTGTTGGAAGAACATGTTTAGATTATCTATAATTTTCTTTCATTACTTATTTTATTTTGATTTAATTTTTGAGAGTGCAGGCTTGACTGGAACTTGCTTCCCTACGTTGGTGTTGACCTGGTGATCCTCCTGCCTCAGCCTCCTGAATACTAAGGTTACAGGTATATGCCACCATCCCCAGGTTCATTACTTTTTTCTGGTAGTGGATGAAATTAGATTACTGGAGAAAAAATATAATAATACATTTGCTTAGTAAAATAACTGGTATTATTATCTGTATATTTCATCATTAATGTATATCAATATTCATTATATATCAATATATATTATATATCAATGTGCAGGTATTTACTTATTTATTGTACAGAGTCTCACTATGTAGCTCAGACATGTACTGATCCTCTTGCTTTCAGCCTCCCCAGCACTGGGATTACAGGCATGTGCCACCACACCTGGACTCAGTCTTCAGGTTAGCGTGCCCAGGGGTGGGGCCAGCACAGCATGCAGGACTGGGGATCGAACCCTGGTACCTGTGCTTGCCTAAACAGGCACTTAGTCCACTGAGCTATCTTGCCGGCCACGTATACATATTTTATATATCAATATATAATTATGTATTAATGTATTATATAATGACATATAATTATAAAATTATAATCATATA